ATACTGTATTCTTCGAGTGAAATAATGAGGTAGGCCAGCCAATCAAAGGAAGGGTGAAAGGCCACGCCAGGAAATCTCGTTGTGGAGACATGATGTCCTAGGCCGCAACGTGACGATATAGAGCACACGACACACTATTAACGTTTACGATGATGTTCTTAACGATGCTGTCAACGATGTTGTTGATGCTGTCGACCATTCCTTTGATGATGCTTTTGATGATGTTGTCGACGTTGTCGTTGAATATGTTGTTAAAGATATTGTTGATGATGCTGATGGTCGGCATAAATTTGCTAACCTCAGCCCCAACTATTGTGGGCCTGAGGTGGGTGTGTTCTACCTATTGCCCCCCCCCCTCCCGTCAGAAAATTTCTGGGTCCGCCCCTGGATGCTTTATGTAGTCATATAGTGATGCACACATGTTTGAAATCCTCCTAAGGATTTGCTCCTGATACTAACGACAATGACGATTTCTAATTTGTTGATTCGGTCGTACGACACTGGTCACATCAGGCGTTAGTGCTAGTATTTTATAAAGATATTCTATAACTTTCCAAATTAAAATAAAAGCAACCGAAGTGATTATCATCATACACATGTAAATAGAAATTTGTTCAGTTTTAGTGATATGTGTCAGTAACAACAATATTCATTATTTCTAAGATGTTGATGTATTTATCTCTTCAGTTGGTTTTAGTGGATTGTATTATGTCTAAGATATGCTAGGCCTACCCAGTTTGCAACGTTTGGCTAAAAAAATCAAAACAAACGCTTTGATCATTGTCATTCAATAACATTCAAACCAAATCGTACTTAGCCCTTAAGTGCCGATCAGTCATAGGGCTAATTCAGAAACTGCTGTAAAATCAAAATGCGTTTTAAAAAATGGTATAGAATGATATTTATTAGACCATTAAGTGAAACAAAAGAAACAATATTTTACGTCACCCGTAGAGACAAATACTGGGTTTGAGCCTAAACTACAGTATGCCTAAAGATGAATAATACCGCTGGCTATGCTCAGGTTATGCATAGAAAAGTTGATTTTTGTACCTATGCTTACGTTGTAAACCAAAACAAATGGTATTGCTCAACCCCGACCAGACCCAAAATTCTCAAAATTGAAAGGTTTTGTTACACAAAGAAATGCCAAGAAAAATATTTCTCTTGATTTTTAAAAGACTAAAATAAAACAAAAGTGACTCCAAAATAGAGAAAGTGATGCCATATTACTCAACGTTTCAACTTTATTTAGCATCATCAGAACATATTTACAAACATAGTGCCTATTTAAACTTTTATAGTAATATTGGGGTAGAATTGTATAGTTGTTGCCCGATTCTAACCAACCTATAAAATTGTAAAAGTTTAGGTTTGTTGCCAAAAAAAATGCTTCCCCGAGAAAAATATTTCTCATGATTTTTGAAGACTTTAAAAACCTTATAATAGTGATAGTAGAGTGGGGTTGTATAGCTTAGTGATTATGATACTATAAGGATACTATAACAATACATAATAATCATGGTTTTTGTGTCAACTGCCCCAAGGGGTTATTAGACACTTTGATGTCGTCTGGCAGTTGAACATGTAACAGTAAATCCGGCAGAGGAATGATGTGATTGGTCATTAGCTAAAGATTAAAATTAAAAGCAAGTTTACGAAATATTGTGACATGCTAGATAAAACCTGTCTTAGTTACAGTTAAGTTATCAATTTAATTGAAAATACAGAAAGCTGCTAGATAAGACCGGTCCTATAAAGTTCACTAAAAAGTCACAACAATCTTGTATAATGCTTGTACAGTTATTTTAGTGAATTGAAAGCACAGAAAGCATGAATGAGTTAACAGTAGCCATAGCATAACAGTCATAGCTGGGAGCCTATTTTTCCCTGGGGTTAAAAGTCTACCATCCAAACTGGGTAAATGATGATCAGCAATGAACTCAAGAATTCGGGATAGGCATGGTAAAAAAAAAACCAAAAAAACATCCGAATGACCTATTGGCCTATGACCCTAATTTTAAAATGTCAACGTCAATGTCAATGTCAATGTAATTATGCGTAAAACAATACCAGCAAATATTCAAATAAACAAAACTCATTTACAGTACCCGACTATAAGTTTTGCTTTAAAAGTATTAGAAATTCCTCTTGTTCTACCATTTGTTTACAAAATTGATTTTGAATGGCCTAATAATGTTAAGTTATCATTCTGTGTTTACAAAACCATCCACGAGTGCAACATAAGAGGACAAATATTGAATCTTGTATTATGTAATTTTGGATTTAATTAGTTCACTTTCACGTATAGCAACCGCATATCATAAGTAATCGTAGGCTAGGTCTGCCTAAAACATTGGCGGGTATCTACAGTGAAAATTATGATCTAATCGAAGGCATAATACACACAATGTGCGAGAGTGTCACTAGAAGCCTGCACATCACTAAAAGGCTGTATGCAGATATCCAATCCCCCTTTCATTACGGAAAAAACTGTAAGTATACATGTTGATAAAGTATTAGTAAGGGCTTAAAACACGTTATTTTCGGTTAGAGGTCGAGAATAAAGGCAAAGTAAGTTTATAAAAGACCGAAAAATATTCACTTTTGGATTATTAGGTCATTAAATTTGGTTTTTCGCCGATGCTTCTAACGAAGCCACTAGTAATCTACTGTTATGCAGACTCAGGGTAATGTGCGATGTAGGCCTCACGGCGTTTATGTTATCAATTATTATAATGGTTACATTGATGATGTCGACTATTGAGGTTGCTGACAAGTACTGGGGGCGTTAGATTCTAATGCTGATTGTGGGGATACCTATAGAATGACAATGAAAATAAGGTTGATGCTGGTGACAGGGTTGACGACTTTGATGATATTATTGATGATGTTGGTGACAATGTTGTTGGCGATGTTGTTGACGCGGTTATTGACTAGGTTGATGGCGAGGATGATGACTATTTTATTGACGTGGGTGTTGACGAGGGTGTTGACGAGGTAGTTGATGAGGTTGTGAATGAGATTGTTGACGGGGTTATTAATTAGTTACGGATTTGTTGATGGGAGCATGAGGAGATAGATAGTGACGATGTCACGAGAAATTGTTGACGATGTTACGATAATTGTTGATAATGTCTCAAAAAATTGTTGCGAGGTTGGCAATGTTGTGAAGTTGAGATGGTACGAGGTTGACGATGTTGAGAGGTGAACGTTGTTGCGAGGTGGACGATGTTACCAGTAAAACGATAGTGTTACCAAGTTGAAAATGTTTGGTGATTGAAGATATTACGAGGCTGTGACCATGTTATAATGTTGATGATGTTACCATGTTGACGATGTGACGAGGCTGCGGTTGTGATGAGGTTGACAATATTACAAAGTTGATGATGTTACGAGGTTGAACATTACCGAAGACGACGCTAATGTCAATAACTAAAATGCAATAATGATGACGACTTCCCTATAATGAAAATGGCGACAGTTGTCTTTTGTCCATTCGAGACACCGCTATGTTTTGTGAAGACCTAAATGTTGATGGTCATTGTCTTTCAGTTATTACTAACTTTAGCATGCATATTCTGAACATATTAATGTGCCTACGCATCGTGTGCTCTTGTTTTTATCACACTTGAGGTTAATCACTAACTTGTACATTTATCTAGGTCTCGCTGATCTTTGTTAATATATTCTAAGGCCTGACCCTTAGATAATTGTTACTAAGGTCTCAATAACGTTACCGTAAACGTACGTCAACAAGTGCATTTTTGGACATCATGTGTGTGTGGGACACGCGCGTAATCCTGGCCATGTTCTAATTGGTCGTTGAAAGGTTTATTGTATAAGAAGTAGATTTTCTTAAGCCATAACACAGTACTAAATGGTACCGTAGTTCGACACACTTTTCGTAAAAATTGTAAGCCTTTTCCATTTAGTTTGAAACCGGCATTTCAGTAATTACAAGAAAGAATTCTAGATGGGATCACAGTGTCAATCTCTACGACACCACTATAATTCCCATCTTGGACAAACATTTAACAATTAAAACGAAACACAAGTTCAAGCCATATTACCAGTGGTTTAATGATGACATTAGGTTTTCGAGAAAATTAAGGAGTCGATTCGGGCTTTAGTGGATGCAAATACGATTAGCCGTGGATTGGGAGAGATGGGAAACATCGAACGCTTGTCAACACTCGTTGCATATTTAAAACTGTAAAGGACAAGAAGCAGATTTTAGTATTATGGATAATATCATAAAAAGTACCAAACACCATTTGAACCATTGTTCAAAGATTATATTCATTAGTCGTATCTAAATTAATAGGCGATTTGGTCTAACCCTCAACACTAGCCTTTGACGCACATTTAAAAAAAAAAGACGTTAAACATGTACATTGTTAAATCATTAAATGGTACGAGTTGCATTATTACATAGTCAGAAGGGAAACAAGCCAAGACTGTTGTCTAAAGTACAGGAATGAGCAATTTTATTACTAGTGTTGCCTAGTTTGGAAAAAAAGTCTTTCTTTAGGGAATCTGTTTGTCTAATAATCTCTATGCCAAACTTCATGAGTTGTTTAATTGTGCAGGATATTTACTAACGTATATTTTTATCTCCCATCGTCAAAGTTTGCTTCTTTCTTGCTACGTTTCAGTGATGTTGTATAGGCCTACTCTAACCTTCTTTTTTTTAAATTTATTTATTTTACATTATCAGTTTAGAAACTTTATCATTTGAAGTAACATAAACGTTATCAACTTAAACATAGAAAAATGTGTATTTAAACATGTTTTTACCATGATTTTACAACCACTGGAATTTTTTTTAAATTTGTATCATTATAAAAATCAGGGTACACATGTGTTTTATATATGTTACTGCAAAGTTTGCGAATTAATTTTAAAATTATTTTAAAGAATTTACTTCTTTTTTTCTGTAATTTTCAGACTTATTGGATTAACCCCCGTTCATGCTCGATTGAATTTTTGTTTTGAAGGTACATCTGAATGGGGGCTGCATTTTCCTGAGGCAAATGGGGACAGCCAATCACCGATCAATATTAACTCACGAGACTCCCTCTACGACGAATCTCTGAATCGCATCGCGCTTAACGCAAACTACATGTTATGCAGAGAGTGCGAGATAACCAACACAGGACAAACAGTACAAATTTCTCTACGTTATAAAACCGGTACGCCAACCGTCAATTTCATTATTATAAATATTAATTTGTGTATAAGCTTTCACTTATCAAATGCTGCAGATAAAAAAATGTAGATCAATGAATTGCGAAGAAATAGAAATAGACCTATAGCTATTTTTATTCATATAGAGCTATAAATACAAACTAAACTATATATATATATCATATATATATACATATATATATCATATATATATATACATATATATATATGTATATACATGTATATATATGTATATATATATGTATATATATATATATATATATATAATATTTCATCTTCCAAAGGCCTATTTTTCAAGCCTATCACACTCTTGATATTATTTTATAACAGTAGAATCATAGGCCCTTTAATATTACAAATTGCTCAATAGGGCAAGTAGTGTCTGTATAATTTCTACCCCTTCTGTTTTACTCCTACATTTTACGCTTTTTAGGAGGTCGGCTTTACCCACCACAACCAGAAGCACTTACTTATTTGTTTTTTTTTTCTATTAAATATACAGATCCTACTATATCAACGTCACGTGATGGTAAAACAGAAATGTTTCCACGATCAGGTATGATCAGGCTTACCATTTTGTATTTCACGAAGGCCTTTTTCCTCATATTTATATTTAAATTGCATTATGAAAATATACATTAAACATTACTGACGTCTTGAATTGTTGATTTTTAAGTAAATGATTTACAAAAATGCATTTATTGAAAAAGAAGTCTTAAAATATATATTTTTTTGTAGAGCATTCTGTAAATGTCATCTGGTTATTTTCGTTCTTATTTTGCAGTTGAAAGTACATTAATTTTAGTAGACTTTTATAAAGAGTTCCATAAAGTTTATATTATATAAATCTGGAAACATTATTATATAGTCCTATTTCAGGCATTATCACCATTGAAAAATAATTATTTGTTAACGGTCAAAATATGACATGCAAAGGCAAAACAGTTTTTTTTTTGTTTTTTTTTTTTCTATTTTTTTTAACTTAGTAATGACAGGTGGTCCGCTACCAGAGGGATACGATTTTGAGCTAACGGAATTTTGTTTTCACTGGGGAAAGGATGATGAAAGAGGTTCAGAGCACACTGTCAACTTGAAGGCTTATCCGATGGAGGTAAGAGAAAGCAGTCCCTGATGATTCGGTATTCCTTAATAGCGCCATCTATCGCTCGATTCTTGATACATTATTCAAAACATTCTGTCTGTCGCCCTCAATAAAAATAATTTCAATCGTTTTGAAGCACATAAAATTGGAAAATACGGTACGGCCTACAGGTAGTTGATAATTGCTGTAGACTTGTATAGCGCATAATGCTAGGTCTCCATGCACTTTCAATAAATGTAAAATAGACGTTGAATTAAATAAACAAATATGATGAAGAAGAGACAAAGAAAAGAGAAAACAACAAAACTACCAACAACAGAAAAAGTAACATTTAGCTATAGTATTACTATCAATTGTGTGATATAATTCCTAAAATAACAAATTAAGCTAAAAACATTGACATTTTGACGTTTTTTATTGTCCCAGAAAACTTGGTGTTCAATAGATGAACCAAGTGACAAATTTGTTGTCACTAAAATTATACAAAATACAAAATTACGCGATATTCTAAACTACCGAAATCAACTTGAGACGTAAAAAAAAAAAAACAAAAAAAAAAAAAAAAACGAAAGCTCCCTAGTGAATACATGAGGTAGGCTTTATAATATTCTTTATAATTTGATCTGAAGCATTCCGACAGGATGCAGGCTCCATAACGTTTAGCAAACTATGGTATGCTTACAATTATAGTTTTAATTTAAGTACAGTACTCCCCAATAGGTGTGAATGCGTTAAACGGGTTTAAACGCATTGAACAATAGATGAGGAACCGTGTTGCTTCAGCAAGCGAATTGCTGTCTTAGAAGAGATTCATTGTAGAATATTTTATAAAACATTAAGGCCCTTGTAATTTTTGTATTTCATTTCAAAATAATTTATTTTCAATGAACATTATGTAGTATTTATCTATAGTGTCACTTATTAGGATATTATTGAAAATGCAGAAACTCTTATTAAGTTTCAAGGGATACCCCCCCCCCCCGGTGTAACCTCTTGGCCTAGTAAAGACCCATGCACGTTTTTTGTTGTGGTACACCCTGACAACCACTAATGGCTCTTAAATTCGCTAGCTCATCGCCACCTCACTACTTCCCCTACCCCTTTCCACTCTTCATACAATAGACCTAATGCAAAATAGTAAAATATAACATCGTGTAAGCGACAGATTGCCAAATAACGTGTGTATATTGATACTTATATTGTGTGTATAGACGAAAGGGTCGGTAAAGCTTGAGGATGACGCTTCAAAAATATTGTGATCATGAATTTGGTCAACCAATCAAATATGAACATACACAATAAGAAAAAGGCAGTATTCAAGATCAATGGATCGCTTATGCCTTAGTTTAAACCAATGCTCTACGCAAACATCAAATAGTTTATGTGTACCTTAATTACACGATGATCAATTTTAAATTGATCGTTTTACAAACAACGTTTAAATACGAGGCGTGATTGGCGTCTCAGGAAAATTAATTGCTATTGCAGATTTAGATTCAGATATTTGCCTTGTAGGATGCACTAAACACACTGAACTTACGATTCAGAGCAATGATTAAATAATTTTAATTAATATAATTTGAGGGTTTGCACAACGAAGTAACAAATTAGTAAATAAAGTATCAAATTGCATTCATTTTGAGTAAAGAATTGGGGTTAGGGTTGTAATTTTGATTCTTTTTTTAAGGTTATTTACTTTAAAGTAGCAATTAACGCCATTTTCTTCTATAATTTTATCTTTCCCCTTACCCTGAGATGAGCACTGCCACTGCCACTTGATATGTATAACCCCCAGTCAATGGAAACGGAAACTTCCCACAAATTTAATCCCCGTCCGGTGCACACTCGATAATAGCAATTAACGCATTTTTTTTATAATTGTATCTTTCCCCGCACCCTGAGATGAGTACTGACACTGCCACTTGATATGTATAACATCTGCTTATACCCATCAAAGTCTTATGTTTACCCATGTCAAACCTTATATCGCGTTGACAACAATTGATTTGGTTGAAATTAATATAAGTTTATGTGTCATCATAGTACTAGGCAGTTATGCAGTTATATCCTGTCATACGAGAGAATTATTTACAATTTATAATTATAGTAATTACTTAAAAGAAAAACCAAAATATTGGCATATTTTGAGCTATATTATCCCATAAAAATTAATTAAAGTTGATTGATGAGCGATCATTTGGGTTGCGATGTCCTGAAGTATGCACAGATGTGTAGACAATAGCCTATTTAAAACAACACACCTGTAAACGACTCCAAACAATACGTACCGTAACCAAGCATTAAAAAATTAAACGTATAATTAATTGTAAAACTAATTTAGGAGTGTTCTTCAGCAGAGCGTATGCAACTGAGCGGCTCTAAGTTGCTGTATACGTACATTCACCAGGTGGGACGATAAAAGGTGTTGTACCGGTAACTCTGCGAGGGTCCTGGTCAAGTACCACCGTCACAATACACCTTCTCCAGGTTTTGCTAATCGGAGGTAATGGAATTTATGAGACCGTGGTGAAGAAAACACGGGAGATGATACTCGAAAAAAGGACGAGGACTTACGACACCTGTGAGATGATTAAACTATAGTTTTAACGAGATGATAAGTGACACCCTTTGCCATATTTAGAAAAACAAACACGAAAAACTACATTTTCTAGTTTGAGTAATGATGACAAGACAGCAACCGCGCATTGTTGTTTACATTAGCAGTTCTTTGTTGCAATAATATACCTAATACCTACTTAATACTTTAGTGTCTTCAAAAGCCTCATCCAGATCTCTTTTGTTTTACAGTCCATAGCTTTGATACAGGGTGCACGGAATATATTTATTCATGTTAGAATAATTCGCAAGCATTTTAACATTCAGCTTTCAAGCCCTTAAACTGAAATATTACCAACAATTATTAAATTTAGATTAACTTTTAACTGTAATTGCTTCAATAATTAATATTAATTAATATTAATATTAATTATTTTGATCTTACATTTCAATATACTTTTTTAAATATTTAGGTATTTAATGTAATGTAAGTGTTAATGATTTCTATTGCACTGTATTTAATGTATTGTAATTTGTATATGCAATATTTTTTTATAACTTATAAGGCATCCTGTAATTGACTATTCGCTGTTCGATGATGATTTGAAATAAGATAAATGTATTGTCCCATGCAAAATACCAAAAAAAAAAAATCATTTTTGAAATTAACTTATTAATTTTGAATTAACATACAAATTATCAACTAATAAATGTTTATACAGTCACTTGAAGTGCTTTATTATTTTTATTACCATTATCCAATATATACCGTAATATTCAGGGTAAATATTACTTATAGTACCGTCAATCATCATTAATAATAACAGCATAATATTTAGGTATATATTCATTCTATAGGATCATCCATCACCTACAGTAAAAGTAAAGTAGTGTTAGCTTTAACATTTTTCCATTTACTAGGACATTTTGGCCGGATCCTTCTTTCCCGCGCGGTAAACGTGGCCCCTGGTGAATTTCTTTGTAGAATAGAATAAACAACTCTCTACCTGTGTTTCATAAATACTGTACGACTGATTAGTGGAATAAAACCAGGGACACTAGGCCTGTCAATCGTAAACATTTCTAAACAACTACCGTACTGGTACGCTAGATGCACTTCTTTTACAATCAAGCTATTGATTTTTTTCATATTTATTTCAGACCCTATTTTTACTTTTATAGTATTCAAGAAACAGGGGCGGGTGCGATCGTACTCCTCCCCCTCTCTAAATTGTATTAAGAAAAATAATGGTTCTATTGTTGATGTATATTTTTCATCATTATGAACATAGTACCGGTAAGATTTTTAAAGTGTGAGAACGGAATTTCCGAGCACTTAGGTTCATATTCTCAAAAATTTCTCTCCTCAGCACCAACCATGATGGGGCTAAGGTGGTGTGGACTCTCACGCACCCAATACCGCCAAATCCTGCATCCGCCCCAGAGAAAGCTTACTAATGAAGTCATTAAATTTTAATGGTATTATTTTATCCAATAACGTCTCTTTGATGTTTAGTGACTCTAACACTCCTAGTTAATGTTGTTCTCTTATTCAAACTTTATAAAGGAAAAACGTTTAGGAATATGTACCGGTACTATTTAGTTAAGATTTCAAATAGAACTTGAGAGAACTGCCAATGTTTATGCTTTAGAATTTGTTCATGTTTTCTTATTAATTCCCCACCCCCATAAATAATACATGCTTGTCTTATTATATTACTCAGAGACCATTTTACACTATACATAACATGGGCGAAAGGATTGTGCAATTAATGTATCTTCTGGTTTGTTTTAATAGCTTCATCTTATTCACTGGAACAGCACCTTGTACTCCAGCCTAGAGGAGGCGATGGGTAAACCGGACGGAATATGCATTGTGTCCCTCTTTATCCAGGCAAGTAAAATTATGTCTACCCTTGGTAACATTAGTCAGGCGTTTTGCAACACAAATAATAATGCGTTGTATGTTTGGAGAATCAATTCGTAATGCAAACAGATTAGTTGCCTTTAAAAAAAAAAAACCTTATTAAAAACATATTTTTCAAATATATTTTTCCTTTTCATTAAACCTTAACCGAGTGCCTTATACCATTAGGGAAAATCGCTTTATAGGGCTAATATCGATAGGCCTATATTTTAAATCCATTTATAGGCCAATAATGAGTCATGTTAAAATCTACCAAAATAAAACCGCGTACTTCTCCGTCGAAACATAACTGTTGAAAAATTAGGCCAATGCTTTACATGGGCAATGCGTTGCAACACACTGTAATAACCCCATCACACTAAAAACCCCTTTAAGAAAACAGGCTTCTCTTCCGTGGTATCCTACATAATAATGTCAGTGGCCGTATCGTGTCTATGTGTAATGCGTTGTTAGACAAATATCGGTGTACTAGCATCTTATTTTGTTCCACCAGCCTCATTACGTCAAATCGTTTTCCTTTCCTAATAGTAATTTGCCAAAAATGTGTTACTCCAGCAATGACGGAGGCTGTAGGCCTATTTACCGGGTTTTATCCAGTGACTAATGTTGCTTTCCAGAAACAGAACAGTTATGCAGTCATAATGTGTCGTTGTGTACTTTGATTTAAAAATCAAAGTAAGTAGGAAAAGGGACTTCGAGTAATTACATCAGTTATATAAGCCACTTGAAAATGAGACGAAAAACCTGCTGAACACAGCTGTGCCGTTTATCAGTCTGTTTCAATTGGATAAAAGATTCAAATCAATTTTTGAGGTTAGTCCTATTTGTACTCATTCGACATTCGTTCGTATTAATTCCAATTTTTGGAGCAGTCGTCATGGAGGACCACGTTTACTTTTCCGCAAACAATTGTATGCAGATAGATATATGGAAGGGGATATTTTAGCTTAGACTAGACCTAATACTAATTAGTTTTAAAAAAAAAGTGTTGTTGCTATCATGATTTGAGCCTCCGATAATACCATTTAGTTGCTCTATTAAATTAGAGTGGATATTCACTTTACTTTCCTAATAATATTATAATCTCCATCATAAATTAAATACCACTTAATTATCAATTAAAGTAAACAAGGTCGACAATTCGCCTATTATTTATGACGTTAGTTAACTTTATATTATACAATGTACAGTAAATGTAGTATTTCGTAACTTCATTTCGTGTTTTTTTTTTTCTGTTTGAAACATCCAACATCTATTGCGCACTCGAATTACATGTTGCACTGTATCATCGGGTAAACTTTATGCCTGTAATTGTTATTCATGTTCAAGATCTGTTTTAGTGGGGGACATTTCGTAAGACCACACTTAAGAAAATTTGAGAAAATATTACCGTACTCTCTAGAAGACTGGAAATGACACTCTTAGTTTTATGTAGTAAAATTCATCATCATCATCACTTCGCCCTAATCGAAATAAAACACCAACAAATTTCTCATGATATTTATAAACGAATTTCTTCAACCATAGAGATCTAATTAATAATAGGTGTGTGATGTACCATAGTAAATTAAGTTTAAAACATTGTCTTTGATGTATCTACTTTTGTACTTAACTTACCTACTTCAAACCGTGGGTCCAGATCAACCTCAACCCCACCATGTCTGGGGAGGAGGTGCGACAATTTGAGGAAATGTACCGGTACCTCTAGATGGCCGGAAATGACACCCTTGGGCCTGTATATTAACATTATCATTACCATTGTAGTAAAAATGAAGCGCCAACAAATTTCTCATGATCTTTTATCAAGCAGTCATAAAGATCTAAATAATCTGTGTGATGTGCCATAGAAAATAAAACTTTAAAACATTGACTTTAAGTATTTACTTTACTTATTTGAAGCCGTGAGTTCACATCCATCCATGTTTGGGGCTTGAGTGCGAAAATCTGGATAAATTGTACGGTACCTCTTGCTGCCCGAAATGACACTCTTATAGTAAAATTTATCATCATCACATCAACATTATACTCAAAATTAAGTGCCAACCAATTTCTCATGATCTTTTATTAGGGATTTTCGGCAATCATAGAGTCTAAATAATCTGTGAGATTCACCATAGAAAATAAAACTTAATTGCATTTGATGTATTTACTTTACCTACTCCATGAGCCGAAAACCAATCTTATCTTTACATGCTTTTTTTTTCCTTAGACTTCTCAAATCATAGTACAGGCACGCGCACTGATATCGTGTATAGGTACTGTAATTCAAATTGTGGGCAGATATACTGGTGCCTTGCTATACTAAGATGTATATGGCCCTTTCGTTAAAACCCGGGTCATTTATGTAGTTCATTTCTGCAATTTTCAGGCATCTTTGTGACTTATGAAATCCCATTGCCGCCGAAAAGTGGGGGCACTAACTTCCCCTTAAAATATGTGGGTGACGTCTCTCCCCTATGATCTGCGCCCATGTTCATATTCGTGTGTATAATTTTTTTTTTAAATAACTTTCTTTTGAGAATACGATCGAATTACTTTCTGTTTTTGTTATTCATAGACCGTATGCCTAAGTCTTGTACCGTAAACAGGTTAGGCTTACAGAAGAAAATCAGCACGATACCAAATTTTGACAGAAAAAATAAATTATATGTACTACTGTACAATGCCTAGGTCTAAATTCCATCCAGTGGGCCTACAGTACTGCCATCGGTACGGTACGAATGTTTCACGTCAACTAGGCTGTCTGAAATTTAGACAGCGGTTACAGAATTTCAGCGTAACTGTACACGGCCGCAAGCCTTTACGAGTTGCCTTTAATTAAGCGCGCCCGGACTACCTTGGATTTGATGTCTTAGGCTAACCTTGTAAAATTATATGGAATGCGTTTTTGTACCGGGGTAGTGTCAATGACCAGGCGGTCATTCAACCGGCTAGATATGAAATGATAAATTTATCATTTTAAAAAGTTCCTTTATAACCACTGTAAGTGTTTAGTTTTCTTCAATGCTTGTTCAACATAATATTTAGTTTAAAGGTCCACGGAAGTCCGACGAATTTCCAGCAGATTCTTCTGGTTGTGAATTCAGCAGCACGTCATGGGACTAAATCTCTTCCCCCTCGGTTAGCGAACTACCCGTTCTCTACCTTACACATATAGGTAGGCCTAGTCCATGTTGCACAAAGCATACGTCTCAAAAAGACGCGTGTGCCGTTTTTAAACATAATGATGAAAGATCAGTTTATGTTGCAGCACCAAAACTCTGGATTGCTTTGGCACTGGACATTCGTGAAGCACCATCTCTTAATATTTTCAAGCAAAGACTAAAACACACCTTGCCAGTAGGCCTAGTACTTAAATTGCAGGAGAACGGTGCGGTGATTCTGGTTCCTCTGCTTATGATGTTCTTTTTGGTTTTTTTTATTAGCTTAGGATTGATCTTGGTTTAGTTTTTTTCTCTTTTTTTTTCTTTCTGATTACTCAGCGCATATAGACCTCGGTATTATGCGCTATATAAATTTCACTACATACATACATTATGTATTATTCATGAATTTCAGAATTCTAGCTTAAAGAAAAAAAACAGTGACAGAAAGTAACCAGAAAGCAGGCTAACGGATCGAAAAGAATGTTAAAGTCGGACTCCGGAGGGAAAAAAAAATTTGATATGTTGTAGAACTGATTTTTCTAAGACAGAAAAAAGTTGTTTGACGAAAAACTGGGTAACAAGATACAGATTTTTGAATATTTAAAAACTGGGGAAAAAGGGGCGTAACCGCCCATTTTTACACCCCCACTTTTTAAATATTCAAAATCTGTATCTCATTCACCGTTGCTCAGTTTGATCAAACTACTGACTTTAAGCCTGACTTTAATGCTTCAGCGCACATATACTGGCTATCGCCTAAAATGCCACCTCTTAAATATACTGCCGATACTTTGGTTCTGGTGGGTTAAGGAATACGAAACTTTAAACGTACAGACCAGATAGAAACAGATGCGAACATTGGTAGTCTTTACTTTGGACATTCTGATATTTCATTATCTTATTATGTAAGGTAACAACTACAGATTTATTATATAGCATCGTTTGTAATGTTGTATCTATTACAAGTTATGCAACGCACGCTTACACATTAATCATACATGTCTACTTGTTATTTTTGTTTAGATTGGCCGAGAACACGCTGGTCTAAGAATGCTAACTGACATCTTAGAGGCTGTACAGTACAAGGTAAGAAAAACATGAGACGCTGTAAATTTTTCGTTTTGACAATACTGTAGTTGCCTTTCAAGAGAAAAAAAAATGCAAAAATATACTTAACATCCTTTTAAAATTCAATTTCAAAGTAAATATAGACCTACTAGTACGGGGCATTTTATAGAGTAGAGCATACAGTGATGTAAACCAAATAATTAATGTTCTCGCATTCTTGAGTGCGTTTCATGTTTACTTATTCTGTTTCTGTTTCAAATGGTAATAACTAAAGTTTATCTAATATTGTTATCCTTTGTATTATGTTAGCACCTGCACTGTTGAAATTTTCCTACACACGCCTTCGTCTCTCTACATGTTAAATTAAAACGTACAAAACGCAAACAAGCCATCGTTTACACACTTGTCAATAATCGAGCATTTATTAATACCAAAAGGATTGTAAACGTTTGTTGTAAAAATACATCACCATAGTGTTTATGGTGATCACCAACTCACCATATCACCAACTCTACTGAATTTGAATTCCAATCCCCATTCTCCTGTTGAAGACTTGAAGAGTGTTTAGTTCTGAATTTTGGAAAGTGCGTCCTCTCACAACGCTTGCACATCGTAACGTATCATTGGTTAACGCGTGTACGAGGCATCGGCTAACGCATGTACATGTCATCGGTTATGGACTATATAAATTTGTGGTAATTAAAATAAAAATTTAAATGCTTCGAATGCAATTTGGAAATTGAATTATATCTCATCGAGTATTTAAAGCATTTTAAATCAAGCTAGTAAAAATTATCAAATGAAATTAAAACACCTAGAGGAATACAGCAGATATTTTTTTTCTAGTACTCATGTGGAGTACTATTTAAATAAAATAAAATAAAATAAAATAAAGTACTTAGGCCTATAGTTAGAGCCCATTTATTACAGTACGTGCTTTATTCGTCAAGACTGATTTTCGTTTCTTTTTTCAGTTTTTATCTACAACAAAAAACCCCTTTAAACTGATATTTTTCAGCCTGCCAAACCTCATCGTTACCTTACATCATCAATCCTTCACCTTAAATTGCCCTTAACTCACTCATCTAATATTGATCTTCATAATTTCCCTGCCCAAAGTTTAAACAAAATTTAGCACGGGTACGCCAAATCAGCAGGTCCGTACAATACATTTGATGTTTCCAGAACGATAGTGTCATTACATTTTCGATATTTTTAGTGAATAACCATTGTTGTAAGTTGTCTGTTGGACAGTGTGATCGGTGCACGTGCGATAGATATATGAGTTTTTAAAGACGTTGCCGATAAAAAGAGGAAATGATAACTCGAAGCGCTTCTTAATGAGTACGCCTTTCTTTATGAACTTGAATGTGACGTGCTGTTTAAAAAATGTATGAGAAAAAGTAAAATTATGTTGTTAAATTTCACGTATAGGCCTATAATATATTTTAAATAGTGAACGTTAAAGCAGAGGAATCTGCGGCATGGAAAATATTTGCTGCATCAGGGATTTGAACCCGGACATTCTGTTGTCTATTACAGATTAACGAACTAGACCATTAGTTTGGAATTCAAATCGTAGACGCAACTGATATTACACTCTTGCAAATGTGTGGAACAACGCTAGTTCTCGACGCATTACAAACAACAATCAATATGATATACCCTCATCTTCACTGTGGAAACAGCGTGGAGCATTTAAACACAAAACTACACGCAATGTTGTCCTGTTTTTGGTGACACGTTTAAAAGCTAAATGTGTTTAGGTCCGGCCTAATGTACTTAGGATCTTGGCGTGTTTAGCTTTAAGTGTGCTTAGGTAATTTACATCATGATGTCAAATACCTAAGCACATCTAATATGTATACATATATGTGTGTATATGTTTATATAATTCGATTCCCACTTTTCCATACAACTAATAAGGAACTTTCGTTGATGAACTATGTTTGATACTTTTTAGATCATTAAGTTCCTATATATTTGAGCACTGTATTGTTATCTATTTGACACATTATTTGTGTTCGCAGTGATAAGCAGCAAAAACTTGATTTGAATATTATTTCTTATGATTTACCAGCTGCTACCAATAAGCTTTTACGCAGCTTTAAAAAAAACATAAGGTTCGCTCCACTATGTGTAAGCCCTCGAGTTGTATGAAGGGAAAGAGACTAGTGGTCATGGATTTTAGCTAATATCTGCACCTGCCGTGCATTGTTTTCCAACATTGTTTTCACGTGATTCAACTCGTATTTATAATGTAAATACGTTTAAAATACATTTATCTATCATGTTTATGTTTTCATTAGTTAAAATGAGTACGACATTTGCATTAGGTTATCAAAATTTAGACTCGTGGCGTCTTAGCAACTCGAACGACCAACTTTGAATTAATGGCAATTAGACTCATTCAAATGTAATCAGCATATTTGTATATACACCTATATTTAAAAAAAGACTAAATATTTTGAAGGTCAGCAATGTATTAAAGCATGTATGTCAAAGTTGTAATCATCTTTGAATGTTAAACCAGCTTCGAAAAGCCTAAAAATTGGCATGTCTTTATAAGTCCATCCGTCTTCATTAAAGTACCAGCGTAGCAAGGTATTCCCTATTGATTTCTGTTCCATCTTTCGAAAGGTTTTGACAATACTGCTTTCGTAGCATGTTGGCATTTTCACTCTTGGGAAATGAAGTTTTACTTGTACAGAACAAAGCATATAACTTATATGTTCATTCAATTTTAATACATCATGTAAATGTTGGATTATTGTAGTATTGTCCGTTGATGAGATCGAGTCGAGACGCAGATTTTTTTAATATTTGTCATTTCCTCATCATCGGTAACGTCGAATAATTTTGCTCGACTTTCTTTATCGGTGGCTACATTGAGTAAATACACTAACACTAGTACACTTTCTTGTCGCCAATTTACACTTTAGTAAATAAGGATCTTGGAATCAAATTTCATAAGAAACAACAACACGATAATATTTTCATTAACTACGTTTTCTATTAGATTACTTCTGTTAAACCCCTAGCTATTGTGTTCGACATAATCACAAGCGAAGAGCTAATGTGTTTCGACAAAAATGTCTGTTGCGTTTCATTGAACGCAACGGCACGATTAACCAATCTACAGCTATCCTTGTTAAACAATATCGCTAAGTTGATATCCATTAAATTATAACATGGTAAACAGAAGCTGTGACATCAGTGCAGAACACAGAGGTATCTTTATTAAATTTCAGAGTCTACAGTTGATGCTGTCCGCAATTTAGGGTGATAAATAGCTTTTGAATATTCCACTAATTTCATTATCTATTACTGGGATCTATTTGAATCTACATTGAAACGACTTTAGCATTGTTGTATGAATTAAATGTAAAGAGTGGTCAGAGTATTTCTCAATAGTGTTACGTTCAGTTGTAAGTGTTTTGGTCAACACCTCGTCATATGTTATAGTTAATTGCTCTGCGTAGCGTTATCAGCCGACTCGACAATAACGTGATGGAAAAACTACTTCACTCGATGTTAACAAAGGTTACTTTGAAACAAAATGTTGCCGAACCTTCGTGTTGTATGTTGGCTATGTTTAACAAATTGTCTGTTCTTTGAAGTGCTATTTTATTACATTGATTGAGGATCTCTTCACTAAATGTAGAATTACATCATCCACATTTGAGTCGAGGAATTGCTCACGCCTATTTAAATTGGCCTGCAGAGTTTTTGTTAATAGTTAAATATTAAGAACAATTCGAGTACTGGATAAGAGGTTGTTGATTGTAGTATCAAAATAAAATTAATTTAACCGATAAGACGAAATCCCAATAGCAATGGTTTACTTAAAAATAATTTTAATAGAAATTATTTTAAAACATAGTAATAATAATGGTAATAATAATAATAATCCTCGGCATTGTGTGGTCGTAATGTGGTTACTTCCTTTTCGTAGGCATACTTAACAAAATTAACAATTTGCATGAAATATTAAGAACAATTCGAGTACTGGATAAGAGGTTGTTGATTGTAGTATCAAAATATAATTAATTTAACCGATAAGACGAAATCCCAATAGCAATGGTTTACTTTAAAATAATTTTAATAGAAATTATTTTAAAATATAATAATAATAATGGTAATAATAATAATAATAATCCTCGGCATTGTGTGGTCGTAATGTGGTTAGTTCCTTTTCGTAGGCATACTTAACAAAATTAACAATTTGCATGAAATATTAAGTAATAATAATAATAAACATAATAAAAATAAAATAATAATAATAATAATAATATTTTTTATTATTATTATTATTGTTGATAAAATATAATAATAATAATTAATAATAATTATTAATAATAATAATTAATAATAATAATAATAATAATAATAATAATAATGATGATGATGTCATCTTAAAAGGCGCATGTATCCATCTCAGAGAGCTGCTAGCAGCAACATTTCCACCTGCAGAGAGCTGCGGTCTTTCCTGACCTTTCTTTTATTTATTTATTTTATTTAAAATGTTTCTTGTATAAACATTTTAAAACAACTTACCTACAAGTAAAAACAGGCAAAGCAAGTGCATGAAAATATTTTAGTACCAATACTCTAAAATAAATAGAGAGAGCAGCTTATCTCAGTCGGCTAATCTGGTGGTGCCACTGTGTGTGCTCTGAACCCGGTTCAATTCCATCGCTGCCTCTCCTTGTGTTTCAGATGGAGAGGCCTGAAATAAGTTAAAATAGCGTACCATCTTTCGGATGAGACGTTTAAGCCGTTGGTCCTGCGTGCATTTATGGCCCGTGTGCACGTTAAAGAATGCAGTACACTCTTCGGAAAAGAGTAGGGAGTTGTCTCCCGGTGTACTGCCCAATCACCACCAGAAGAACCCCACTGGCAATAATTCTTCTTCTAGACTTTCGTGGGCTGTCCTTGGTGTTTACACCGAATAAATCCAACCAACTTAAAGTTTAAGCTAGTTCGGTATTTATTTATTAGGCCTACTGAACGTGGGGGAGAACTGTTAGGAGCCCATTGTACTAATCCTCGGCAGTGTGTGGTCGTAATGTGGTTAGTTCCTTTTCGTAGGCATACTTAACAAAATTAACAATTTGCATGAAATATTTATTTTTAATTACTGTAGTTTATGTATCTAGTATACTCTATAAGGTGAACTTTTAAAACTTTTCATAATGTATTATATCTTCGCTCTCTTACACAGGGAAAGAGTTACTCTTTGCAGATTCCATTTAATCCCAATTGTCTGCTACCAGGTAAGTGTTAAGCCGGGCACTCACTGCGTCGTACGACCGTTGCACTACGAATCCAACTCCGATTCTTATATATACGCTAGACCACGCGACGCCGTCCGCTGATTGTCGGTGTCAATCTCAAAGGATCGTCATTAAAAACAATCTGTTACGCGCGCGTCGTCGCGTTACGTTCTTTATAGAATCGCGTCAGCCGACGACCGTCGGGCGCAGTGAGTGCATGCCCGACTTTAGTTAAATATTCATCTTAACCCTTATTCCAAGTTTACACTGTCAGTTTAAATAATAGGATGTTCTTAAATCTTTACTATTGCACTTTTCCCTCGTCTTCCGAGCATATGTCACCTCTCCGGCGTCTGTCTGTCGTAGACCTATCAATATTCATTGTTGCCATTGTTTCAAAGAGACATTTCAGAACTTGTGATATACACAGAAATAACCCAGGAGCCAAAAGTTTAACTAGGGTATTTTTTAGGTATAACCGGGCCCTATAAAACGTATATTTTCCCACATTCTGGCATATGGATGTTGTGATGATGACGTCATATGACTTATCGATCAATCTGTGTATCGATGGTGAGGCACCCATCTGGCTGTTGATGACGTGCATGACAGTGATGGAGGTGTGTGTGTATATATAGTGAATCATGTTCTATCTGTTTTGTAATAAGTTAACACCCATTCTGTCCCTTGTTTAAACAATTATACACACGCTAGAAATATATTGGCGAAGGTTGTAGATTCAAGCATTTTGTTAGAAGTTGCGTTAAGGGTGTAGGATATGTGTTGATATCGTAAGGGATGGGATGTGTTTACTCCAGCTACAACGCAAGTTCCGTGATGGTTGTGTGTATTAATGATATACGATAATGTATTCGGGGTTTTAGCGTGTTGAAGATGCGAGATGTTCTTTGGGGTAAATCTTACTGCTAATTTCATAAGATTATGTTGTTGAGTGTGTTGGTAATGTTCTATCTTTAGAAGTTGTGATGGATGAAGACCTTTTATTTTATCTATTTCCAAGCTGGTCAACTAACAAAATAACCACCTAATAGCCTAATATTCTTACAACAATAAAGGCTCAGTTACATTATTGCACATTAAACCAAACACCACAATAAAAGATAATAATAGTACCAAATATGAAAAATGTATATTTAATGGTAATTTACAGCACTTTATACTTTTATATCTGTATATCGTAGGCCAACAGTTATTTGATCGATAATAAAGCTCATAGGTAATTTTAATAATAGATAATTCGAATGTGTTAGAATTTGACCATGATACAATTGGGATATCTTACCATATCCTACTGTGAATTAAAAGTCTTCTGTGTAATTAGTTTAATTTTTCTTCAACTGTAACACTAAGTATTGTAACTAAATTATTTTATAATTTATTAAAAAATGTTAATCGTTTCAGATCCTGCACTGCGAGACTTTTGGACATATGAAGGTTCTTTGACTACCCCACCTTGTTTTGAGAATGTAACATGGATCTTGTTTAGATATCCCCTAACAGTGTCTCACGCTCAGGTTAGTATCCAGCAATCATAATAACGTTCACGAACGCAGTGCTTTACGCAAACCCTACGTAATTAATTTAGGCCGCTTCAATGTATGTGGAACGTATTCCTTGACCAGGAACAGTGCAATCTTGAATGAAATTGACAATTTTTATTGGCCTATTCTCATAGGCCTTTTTAACATATTCTAATTAAACAATTTTTACTCATCAGTTTGCGCGCCTAGTCAAAGAACTCCTTCCCACCTACCCTTAAACATACGTGTGGTGTATTGCTCGGTTTAACGGATACCTGTATATCTTTACATTACATAGATCCTGCTAACATCTAAAGAATTATTACTCTACGCTCTCGCGTTCATACAGTGCTTTGCCCACATATACCGCCAAACATAATCAAACTAGGAAATAATAGAGTGATTGACCATTTATATTACTGCTTCAATAATGCTGAATGTGCGGACCATTGATATTCACTTCTACTCTGAGAGTTCACAAAAACAAAAACACATTTTAAAAATAAGACTTTAATATTAATTATTATTTTCTTATGGTAATTTGCAAGTGATGATCCTTAGATCCTTGTTTAAGTTATACAAATGAACGGAACATGTCAATATAGCTTGGTTAAGCCTTTTTGTACGATAATGAAATACAATTATTAATTGTGTCATCATGTACATTTTCTGATTATTGTATGCAATTTTAAGTTTGGTATGGACCAAATGATTTTTAAACAAACCAGGAAACTTATTTTATCAAAACAAATTCAGTTACGCTCCCAACCCTGCCGTCGTTCACTAGATCAACCTCTTTTCACTCTCTCATATCAAGTCAAACGCGTGGGCGCTCTTTAAAGGTGGCCGCTCCAAAACTCTGGAACTCTCTTCTCTTATCAATATACGAGAATCGCCATCCATTTCCTATTTTGGGCCAGATTGAAACTCATTCATATATTTTTTTTTTTTTTTTTTTGGCGGGGGAGGAAGGGGTTGTTAATGGCTTTTGTTGTTTCTTTTTTCTGTCTCTTCCTCAACTTATTTGTTTCTTTCATTCAACTTCTATTGGACATTTATGACCCAAGATCATAAACGGGCAGTAAACTCGCACTGCGCTCTGTATTGAGAATCAAGCCTCAATAGCCGTAATAGGCCGTAGAACATGAATTTTGTGTGAATTGTGTTTTTGTGTAATAAATAAAGTATAACTATTATTCTTACTATTCCTGAAGTTTGAGTTTAAAATTCCAACTGTAAAAGGTAAAATTTAGCCATTTTCGGATTGGAGTTAGTGAAAAATTATTAGAATATTTTCTCAAAACTTGATAAGTTGATAGAAGGATGATGATTATTCCAACGGTCATAACTTTGCTTCCACACACCCGATTGAGTTCATTTAACCTTCATTTTAAAGTAAATGATTTGTCTATATCTATAACAAAAACTCATTTTGGCATGAGGACGAGTTTACAGCCCTTTTATGATCTTGTGTCACATTTGTTGAAAGCGCATAGGGACCTTGTACCACTACCATTACCAATCGTTCATAATCGTTACAGCTGGAGAATTTCAGACGAATGAGAACTCATTTAAAAGGCGACGTTCCTTCTTCTGAAGATGATGGTCACCTTGTCGATAACTACCGACCAACTCAGCCCCTAAACGGTAGAGTGGTGAAGGCATCCTTTCAATGAAGAAATCAATTAGTATTGAAAGTAAAGTATGTGCAAATGTGACTACGTGCAATTTTATGAATTAACCAATATTGCTTTTTTATGCAACGTATGCAAAGACTTCTGTTAAGAAGATGCGGATATAGTTATTATCATGCGGTTTTATTTGTATAACCACTACTAAATATAATATAATTCAATACTGGTCACTTGAAATATGACACAAGATAGGCCTAAGCCTGTTTTAGTGTAGGTCAAATTTTCCTTTGAATTTGAAGAAACCGTAAAAAGCTATACTGTAACCATGACTGTTCGGCTCATTAATAAACTTCATGGATAAATGGAAAATGATTTTAATTTTCTGTACCGACTCACGAATCGGCCTAAATGTCAACTTGAATCAGTTTTTGTATTATTTTTTAGTAATGCATTTGCTGGTATAGGATTGTAGCTCAGTATCGCCCTACACTGCAACGAACAACAATATATTTTGATCAAAAATAGGTGTCTGAATTAAATTCTATATTTTATAGACCTATTGGTGTTGCGTATGTGTGTAGATGCATGATTTTGTTTAAATAGATATATTTGCCAAGGCAGTTTTAGTCCTATGAGTTTATTTTGTTAATCGAATTTATATAAAAACACAGAAGTAAGTATTGACGGAAACACTTAAACCTATAGTTATATAATATGAAAATTTTAATAATATTGCATGTTTGTATGAAATGATATGTCCTCTAGAAAATCTCTTAATTACTAGTAAAGCTCACATATATAAATTTCTGTAAAATGTAATTTATTAATTGTACGTAAACTGTATTTTCTTTTGTATCTGTGTCTCAGTGAAATAAATGATAGTTAATAAACATCTTCGTCTAATAATTTGCCTCTGTATTTCCACACTGAACAGTCAATTTGCATTCCATTTAGTTTTCAAAGTAGGCGAATGAATAAACTCCAACATTGCTAATCTGTATTTATAACTATCGCAAACATAATAATAATAATAATAATAGTGTAGTTTTATATCTGTCTCTTATACACATCTAGATGTGTATAAGAGACAGAATGTAAGATGCTCAGGGCGCTTGAAATGTGGACTAGGAACTCGACCAATGACTTTCTTCGCCCGTAAAGATCCCTTCGTGTCTGTGCTACACGGTAACCCGGTACCAGCAACTCTCGTCGTCCACCACATGGGCTGTCTGTTCCAGTACACCGGGGTAACCCCCTACTCGTCTCGAAGGATGTACTGGGTTCTTTATAGTGCACACGAGCCGTTGTATACACTGGGCCTACGGTTTATAGTCCTTATCCGAGAAGACTTATTCTACCACCAGAACCATAGGCGAGCGTGCCGTTCGAACCAGCGCCGATATTATGGCTATAGCTTGCGGCGTCCTTGCTAACCGCTCGGCCATTCGACTCACCACATAGTCCGTATTCTACAGTATTACTATATATGAATATTAAATATATATTTATTATTTCGTTTTATATTACATACTACTAAATTAATAAATTGTATAATTTTCTTTTATCTAATTCGATACTCTAAAGGCCAACTTAGACAGCGTCGGCCGACGCAGCCCGACGCGATTTGTTGTCGCGTCGGGTCTGTGTGAGTTGAACGCAGACGCGATGGTGTGCGTCGGGGGCAGTCGCGTAGTAGAATATTAAACAGCAATATTAAACACGACGGCTTAAGACTGTCCCCGACGATAAATCGGGTCGGGCTGCGTCGGCCGAAGCTGTCTGAGTTGGCCTTAAGTGTACTAGAGTATAGCGAACAGAACCTATTGGCTTGCCATCAAAATCGTATGTTTTTTGCCTTACAGACAAAAAAGTAGTCTGTGTTGGTAACTTTCACTGGGTTTTTAAAATGTATTTTGTGGTGTCACAACACGTACCGTATATAATTCATTGAAGTGTTGAAATAGACACTATGGAATTGTTGCTTGTAACCAATTACCCAATTAAAAGCAAACGTGTCAATTGATGCGGACTCGCTACTGAGTATTATTGAAACAATTTGTAGGAAAAAATTGTGACAAGAGTGTGTTTGTGATTTTTGAGATACGGGTCACTGAAATGAGATGCGTGTGCCACCCTGTAGGAAACAACTTGGCTGAATGGGCCAGCGTTTACCTTCTCGGTGTCTGCTGTTCGCTGTGGTCGTTCTTTAGATCTGTATAAACACGTTTGCTATTACGCATGTAGAATGTTATGTTTTGTTTTTGGACACTTTACATTTTTGTAAGATGGTGCCATCGGCAGTTTGCACTTCCTGACCAACTTCCGCCCTCGGGTCGCTTGCTTTTCAACCAGTGTGTACCCAGCCGGTATCTGCTGACATACTTATTATTCAGAATCCTAGGAGAAACAAAAGAAAAAGAAATAATTATTGACTCTCATCTGATATCAGATTACCTTTCGATTTCAACCAATTTGAGTCTGTTAAAAATACAATAGTTTGAAATAGCTATTTATGAATTTGTTCAGTGGCGGAGTAGAGGAGGGAATTAAAGTTGATAATTAAGTGAATAACTACTACAAACATAAAAACAATTAATGTCAGCACTTGGTTTGTTAGGACAGAAATTTAAATTCTGTTCGATTGCTTCTTTTTCTTCTGACAACCGTTGTGAAGCTGTTAGCCGCGCATTCTGAATAAAAATGAAAGCCTAACATTCATCAGTCCAGTATTCTTATCAGCATGATACAAAATGAAAGTTTGTGTTTCATTTTGATTTGACAGGGCTAGATCTTCGTGTGTACAAAAAACTATATACACATTCATAATAAATAATAAATTGTTAATAATTCATAAGTATAACCATATATGTGAATGATACACAACGCATACATACGTTTATAATTGAGAATTATTTGCTAACATGTAGGCTATATAATGGTCGTTTGCAAAATTCTAAATTAGTACCTTCTTAAATGAAGGTACCGTACCGTAATGCGCATAACATAAAATTGAGTAATAGGCCTACGCAATTAGGCCTAATGTATTTAATTTAAAATACATTACAATATATAAGCCTATAAAAAAACAATATCAATGTACTTTTCCAATAAGATACCAGGCCTGCGTGGAAAAGAACGGTATACATATAACGAATATTATATTAATTAAAATTCTAATTTCAAATTATAATTGGTTACATTTTATTTATTATGGAGACGCTTAATCCGACTGTGGGAAACAAACGTATCTCCTGGACAAGAAACACAAACTCATGGAATCTCCATTGTTTGTATAGCCCGTTGTATGTATTTGGTTTAATACCGTTACAGATATATACCAACGAATCCTAACAAGAATTTGGATGATAACCGCACTATTAGTATCTTGACGCTCTTTCTACACCTGTCAATTTGCCGTTGGTCTTTACCCGGGAACGTAGCTACCCTGCACCATCGCCTGTGGTGGTACCTTTTCCATACTACGACACAACCCATTCCAGAAGCCGCGTCTCCCGGGAGTTATCCTGCCTGAATGTTTCGATATAGTGAGACATTTGAGACTGTTTCAGCTCAAGATCGATTAGAAAAACACTTATCAGATCTTAATTATAGACGGTAAAATTGATGCTACTACATCATTGTGTTACACCTGATGTAGTATTTAAAGTTGCGTACGTGAAGTGTGCATACGTAGCCTAAGCCGGCGTCGGAAAACCTACTCGATAAGACGACGTGATGACGTATCGCGCTACGGATCGTGTTCAACGTCAGCCCAGACCGCGACTGACGGTCAGAGGACTTGTGTTTGGCAAGCATTCAATCAGCGCAGATACAAGGTGCACCAGGCTTAACGTAAACACGTGTGCAGAGGTGCGCCAATATATTAACATTATAATTCAGCACATAACATGCTTCTGAAAATAGGCCTAATGTAAACCTCATTAACTCTACGGTTTGTGAGTTGTTTATTATAATAAATGTACTCGCTGATTGATAGAAATAAAGTTTACGCGTTTTAAAGTAGTACAAACGACTTAAAATTTAAGTCAATTTCATTCTTATGACCTCAGTGTATACCCTATCTGACTATTACGTATTCAAAGTGTGTTATTGCTTGTATGTGAAGAGGCTTCGCATGTTTGACTACACTCGTGCATACGTTGTGTAACGAGATTATCGTTGTAGCGTCGTGTCGTTGACGAGATGCTTGTGCGAGTGCCTTTTGTTGGTGGATCAACACGTCGGCCATTATAATACATTGAAACCGTCAAACCCTTAAGTTTAAACTGTAAATATCGGGCACAAAACAGGCTAGTGTGAAAAAAGGAACTGAGGTTGTGGACCAATTGATGATATTGTGCGAAAAACAAACTAAAATTTTATTTATACAAGATACCAAACCTATATAGGTATCGCTTTGTGTAGTGACACAAAGGAAGCGTTGTAATTTGTACCTACATCAGATTTGTTAGATAATCTTATGGGACGTTCAATATTAAACTAAGTTTCTCATAGTAAATAGGTTTTTGAACTGCTGAATAAAGGCAAGCAAACTGATCGCGTTTAGAATGACTGAGAATATCCTTAACCGATGTTTGCTGCCATACTCTTTACCACTCTTTACATAGCATCGTTTAGCATCATTTTGCATTATTATGTATCAAACTAAAATCTTAGACTCGAAAACTATGACAAGCTATGCGTTTCAAGCTTGTATCTTATAAATCAATTAGACAGAACAATACTTTCACAACACATTATTTTCTCTATTCTATAATTGTACTCCATATACTTTTATAGAAGCATTATTGATGAATTACATGAGAATACAATATAACCTACAGATGTTAGCAATGTTACATTAATAAAGAAGGCTACAAAGTATCGAATTTTGCCAAAAGTGCTCAAATATATAAACATAATTCGTTTAAATGAATAAGTGCTTCTGGTCAAAATTCAAATACTGACCTCTTTCCGCCTAGGCGAATGTTATACTGCTAGGCTACAGAAGCTTGTTGGTGTATCTCAGATTCATTTCAGCCAGATCGCTCCCTTATAGGTCGTGTGTACATCTTCCTATAGTGAAGCTGCTTGTTAGAGAGTACTCTATGTGGAAAAGTAGAATTTACAGAACGTAAATAAACATCAAAGTTTATTCCACCTACTGAGAATTTTCTATTTTATTCATTTCCTCACTTACATAACATACAAAACAGTAATAATATTGAATAATAAATAGAAAATAAGTGAAGAAAAGAATAACATAAAAGATCAACTGTACATGTGCTTTGCTTTTCAAATAATTAAATTGCATGCATATTATAAACTAATGCATTTTATACCGTTTCCTGTTTTAAACAGGTTACTACAGACCTACATAAAAAAAATAGCTGCAGATGCATTGCATTTGTAAATCAATTTCATCCCCAATATTGTTGTACAAAGCGCATATACGGTATATAACACATCTTTCACTAGAGAATTGAACATTTTCAAAATTTCCATCAATTCAAAAGCTTTGATGAACATGAATTAGAACGAAAAACATTTTTCGAAATTACAGGAGAAATAAATAACTTGAAATATCATAATATCTAGCAGTTCTTATAATATATTATAATTACTACTGCAGGGTTATATAATTATGCCTGCATATATACATACGTAGTTAATATTTCTATACATAATTTCTTCATTTGGAAATGAGTATTGTGAATATCTACAGAAATAATATTAATAATCTAGAGCTAATAATACAAATTTTACTTGTTCGTTTAAATATTTCGTTTGGGGAAAGTAGGTTTACAATCAATTGGAGGTAAGCCAATTCAAGTTATTCGCGTGTTTTTCGCTGTAGTAACAAACAACGAAAGCGGTATGAAAATTGATTTTAGCTTGTAAAGCGC